AAGTCAATATTGAGAAGTTCTATATGGTTTCTTCCGAGGCTTCTGCGACTAAAAAATGTGCGTTGTCTAATTCTAAACATTCGTTATGAGAATTATTTTGGTCAATGTCAATGTCATTGTACTCGGTTATTTCGACTTCCGATTCAGGGTCGTTAATGTTATGCAGTTCTTCGGAAATGAAGTTACGTGGTTGTCCAAAATTATTTCTAAAATGACTTTGACTACTGTTATTTGTCGGATTTTTAGTGGTGTTTCTAGTACTTATGCTCATTGGTGTTGGTTTGTTTTGGGGAATATAGTTAGGGTTAGGTTTAAAAACATTTGATCTTGAATTCTTAGGATAAGATTGAGATGGATGAAATTGGGGTTTATAGTCTATGGCGAGAGGCCTTTGGTTATAGATTGGCTTTGGTTTTGAGAAATTAGAATTTTTATCTTGAATATTAAAGTCATTTGTTAAAATGTGTAGTGCCTCATTTAGGCTATTGGGTTGCCTGGTAGATAAATAATCTCCAAGCGGATTATTTAAATGTTTGAGAAATACGCGTAACGCTAATTTCTGAGAACTTGTCGTCAGTGTTACTACATCCTGTGCATTTGTACCGTGGGTGTTGATATATCCTACTTGCAGATTAAGATTTGTCTGTACTTTGGTGTAAAATTCTAAAGGTTTTAAGTTACTTTGTTTCATATTACATAACTCTATTATTAATGTTTGTAAATCGCGTTTATCGGCGTAAGAAGCCAGAAGGGTATCTTTTAAATCTTTCCAAGTATTTATTGGAAATGAAGCAATTGCCTCAGCGGCGGTACCTTTGACTTTGTTTTTAATAGATTTCAATAGAAAAGTATTTAAAAAATCGTTTGGATCATTTTTATTGTAAAATTTATTTAATAATTGCTCACTTGTAGCAATAAAATCACTTAAAAGTGATGGGTTACCTGTGAATTCAGGAATAATTTTTAGATATTCTTTTTGAAAAGACATATTTAACGAATTATTAGTGTCTTCTAAATTACTATTTAAATTTAAATTTTGCAACTGATTTAATATATCCTCAGTGCTAATTGTCGTAGAATTTTGAAAATTTAATCTACGAGGAGGAATTATCGAATTATTTTGATCTATATCTGAATCAGTATCCGTTAATGACATTTATGACTTACCAGTACCAAATTTTCATGGCTCTGGAAACCTTAGTTTGAGTGTTCTGATAACTTCTTTGAAAGTTGCACAATGAAAGTCCGTCCGAACTGGTGGTTCACTATTTGCAATTTTCTGCTCGAACTTTAGTCAATGAAAGTCTATCCGGTCTGGTAGTTCACTTTATAAAGTTCTGGGTTCGATTTTGCACTATAAAGAATTAAAATTCACCGATTTTTCGATGTGAAGGTCCTTTCGCGAGGTTCACTTTTTGAAAAAAATCGTTAGGCTTATCCTGCAACGACTGCGCCACTTATATTTCCAAAAACTAAAACTTTGTTTTTTTAAAAATTTTATTTATATTTATTTTATAACAACTCGAAACAAAGGTTGACATAAAAGTGTTTGTAAAACATGTAGTACATATGTTATAAGTTCGGTTTGCTGACCAAGCTCCTGGGTGCTTGGTTGGCGTTTTTCTGGGAACTGCTATATAATAAGTATATATCATATTATGAATAAGTTCTAAAACTTCTAAATGTGCTTTATTTCAGACAAAAGGCTTACATATTTTAAAAATATGCAACATTTTTCTTCTATAATTTTTTTTTATTCTTTCTTTCAAGAGAATTGGACTTGAGCCAATTAGGCTCTTACTGCCCAAATGCAAGTTTTAACATGAAGGATAAAACATTTTTAAATATAATTGTATGTGAGACAATAATTATCAATCTCCAAAATCGAGGATTGCAGATTAATTGTTCAAATCCAGTTTTTAGGAGTGGATAGGTACATAGCTATGTTAGAAATCATCGTCATCCTCATTTGATGAAAAATAATTACATTCAGACTCAGAATCATTATTAACCCTTATAATAAATTCATGAACGTCTTCGGTAAAATGTTCTCTTGAAATGTACTCCTCCTCAGATTTTGCCACATGCGCACATACTTTCTCCCATTCCTCGACTCCAATATTTTTCAATTTGTCTTCCGCCAACTTCCACACATCATCTAATTTAAAAGTGACATTCCCTGCTTAAAATACCCCATAGAGACTCTGTTCAAACCGATAGATATTTGTATCGGAATGTATGGTGTTTCAATAGGGTGTATCGGTATGTATAGGACCCATAGTTGGGATTTATGGTTGTTCTATAGGGATATCCACCCTTGATTTATTTGCTATTGGTTTCAATGGGGAAAATACACATAAATGTAGAAATTAGTTTTTCCCCCATAGGACCCCATAGGTTTTAATAAAATTTTGTCAAATGTTTTACGGTTGTTCTATAGGTATATTCCTATATATTCTTCATTGAATTATTTGCTATCGGTCTCTATAGGGAAAATGTAAAAGTTATGGTGTGCCTATAGGTAATTTCCTATAAATTTTCTATCTGGCCGTATCCGGAAAAAACCATGGACAAATGCACATATTGAATCCGGTAGCGCCCGATAGATTATTTTGTATAGGTCTCTATGGGGTATTTTAAGCAGGGTTGTGGGCTGCGATATGATTTTTAAGCAACGCCCATATGCCTTCGATGGGGTTGAGCTCGGGATGGTAGGGTGGTAAACGCAAGACTACATGACCATGTTGTGCTAATAAATGATCAATTACGTAATTCTTATGCACCGGTTTGTTGATTTGAATCTTCTTGTACAACTCCGGCTTTGTTTCCTTATTTTCAAAGAATATAATATTATTTCGTTCCGATAACCACTTTTGCATAGCCGCTTTAGTCCAACTTGATGTAGTGTTCGGTGTCAAAAGAACATTATGATATGAAGCGTTCATGGGCGCCGGAAGGAATTCGTCTAGGGGGGGCCCTTAAAGTTTTTTACAATTTTGATAGATGTTATTTATAATCAAGTTGTACTGTAGAAGTTCACATTAAACTTAAGTCAAATAAAATATCATCTTTATATGTATATTTACCTATTTATTTATATTGGTACATATTGCAAAAAATACATCACAGTTTTTTGGTAAATAAATATAAAAAAATTGTATCGCCGAGGAATCTCCTCTAGTAGTACAGCCGTCTTATGTATACGCTATACAAATTATGTTAAATTAAAATATAATGAACAAATGATAACGATCAGCACTTACCGTCAAATTATGGAGTACCGGAATTTCTGGGTATGAATTTCCAGGGGGGGGCCCGGGCCCCCCCTGCCTCTATGTAGCGGCGCCCATGCCCAGATAGCACAAAGGTATACTATGGACGTTCAATGGGCGTATGCTCGTGGATGTCTGTATGTACATAGGATGTCCATTTTTTTTCTATGGACGTCCCATGGACATCCGTTTAGAGTCCAGATGTCACAACTTTGGACATCCATAAGTCGTCCACCGATGGACGTCTATAAGGTGTTTGAACCATTCCTTCAGCATCCAGGACCTGCTTTTTTGCTTTAACTGTTTTTTGCGACTGTATTTTCATTGCAGAAAATTTTCTACAACATGCCTTTTGTCTGGCTCAGTAACAATCCCACTAGGAATATAAATATTCTAAAAGTTGTTAAAAGTTACAACATTCAATGTTGAACATTGCAGGAAATCCTTGTATTCGACTCAGGAACATTACATTTGCAATACTACAAGTGTTTAACATTTCATTGATAGCTTAAGTCCTTTATAGCACGCGCTTGCTTGAATGTCAGTGAGATTGATCATAACTGTTGTTATGCAGCCAACAATACGTTTTAATTTGCATTTCTGTAATAATAATTATGGACGTAAAATGGACACTATATCGACGTCCATTAAAATCGTACATAGTACATCCATTCTTAGTCCGTGGACCAATGTACTTAAAATGGATCTTAAACGGACGTCCATTGGACGAATGGTGCTATCTGGGTGGAAGCGTTATCAATCACAAGAACTGAATTTGGCTCTAAATTGGGCAGCAACTTCTCTTCTAGCCACTTTTTATAGTTATTGTGATTCATGTCGTCACCTGTTTTTCGACCAGATTTAAATATCAAATCAGCGTTTTTTTTTCCACCGCAGTGTACAATTATTAGCCGTTGACCTTTTGAAACTGGCGATTTCAAACCTTTGTTGCTGCCATCATTCCAAGACTTGGGCACAGTATGTGAACTGCGCAGATATGTCATCATTGTACACAATGTTTCTACCCTCTTGAGATTTCTCAAGAAAATAGTCCGTTTCGCTCTGATGTCCGTCTTTTCAACAAGGAGTTTGCGATTATCCACGGTTTTTTTCCATCGTAATCCTAATTTTAGGACAATTTTTCGAAATGAAGATATTTTTCCAGTCAAATGGGGGCAATCAATTTTGACAGCTTCAAAAACCGCTTTTAAAGTTGGTCGTTGTTTATGTGTTATCGAAAATCTATAGATAATAGTTCTTATCACTTCTTCATCAAACTCATCCACTGTTGTCTTGGGATTTGGTTTATTAATAGTTTTTCGTGGCGAAGTGAATTTCTTGTCGGCTGGTTTCGTTTTACCCTCTTTGTCAATTCTTTGCACCGTCCTCAAAGAAACACCAGTTGCTGCGGCCACTCGCTCTTGTAAATGGCTAAGAGGTATAACAGGATCTTCACCATCTTCTTCACGTTTTAACTCGCGTTTAAAATATTGGAGAACGTTGTAGACGATCTGCCGCCCTTGTCTGTGAATGACTTCTTTTTTGCCGTTATTCATTTCGTATGACAAATATAATATAAGAAATATAATATAACAAAATTTAATATAATATTATAACAAATATAATAATAGAACAAATATAACAAATATAATAGAATTTCTAGCCTATAAATATGTTTAAATATGTCAATAAATATCAGCTGATGCTAGCATTGCCAACCCTGTAACATTTTGATTTTTTGGTATTTGTTTTGATTAAAAAAGGAAAGTTAGTTTTTTGTAGTAGAAATGTCTAGACAGTAAAAATGAGTAGTTTTTGTTTAAAAAGAATAACGGTTGTTAGGGAAGTATTTTTGAGAGAAAAAACATGTATTGGATTGATGTTAATTAATTTTACAACGTTTTCGTTGCACTTGTGAATAAAGTGTGAAATACAAACGTAGATTGCGTTTTATTCTACGAACCGCCAGGGTTTATTTAAACGGATTGTTTATTTGGACTTGGCACAACATTTTTGGCGACCGTGACAGGACTGACAGTGCGAAAAAGGAAAACATTGTGTAAAAAAAACTCTGGGTTCAAAACAAACGTTGTGTGTTGGTCAAGGTTCGGCGGACGGGCAGCTGAAAATACTCGGTTAATGTCGCGCATAAAGGACACACAGCACAAGTGAGTGGTTTTCTGGAAAAAATATGTCAGTTTTGGATCAGAAAAAGAAACACAGGCGAGTTCTTCGCACGCTGTTTACCAAGAATGCCAATGAGTTGGACAGTTTATTGTCTGTGAGCGAAGAGCGGGATGAAAAGGCAACAAGAGAATGCAAAGTATCAATGGAACTTATGCAAGGTAAACACGATCAATTGACAGTAATTAATTCAGAGATTTTAGAGCTTATGCTAGAGTCTGAGGCTTCTGAAAACGATATTGGAACAGAGTGTGAGAATTCCGAGGAGTATAAAAGAAAATATTTGGATTTACAATGTAAATATGAGTCAGTTTTTAAATGTGTAGCGAATGAGGAGATATCCTTAGCTAAAGTAGACATTAAATCGTGTGCTAGTGTAGGACAGCGAAGATTTAAGCTGCCTACTATAATATTTAAAACATTTGATGGTAATGTTAAGAACTGGATGCCATTTTGGGCACAGTTTCAGAAGGTGCATAATGATGAGAGCATAGATCCCTGGTGGAAATAATTCTACAACATTCTACAACATTTAACGCGAAAGCTACAACTTTCTACGCGACTTTGCTACAACATTTAATGATTCTCTACAACTTTCTACAAGACACTACTACATTATTTTAAATAACGTAGAAAATTGTTCAAAGTTGTAGCTTTTGCTACAATTTTCTACAAGATATTACGCGGATTGGGACATTATTGTTATATTTCGTAGAAAGTTGTAGCTTACTAATATCATAGTATGCTACAACTTTGAACAATTTTCTACAAGATATTACGCGGATTGGGACATTATTGTTATATTTCGTAGAAAATTGTTAAAAGTTGTAGCATACTATGATATTAGTAAGCTACAACTTTGAACAATTTTCTACAAGATTTTACGCGGATTGGGACATTATTGTTATATTTCGTAGAAAATTGTTCAAAGTTGTAGTTTACTAATATATTACTATGCTACAACTTTTAACAATTTTCTACGAAATATAACAATAATGTCCCAATCCGCGTAATATCTTGTAGAAAATTTTAGACGTACGAAATTTGTTTAAATTGTTTTTTTTTAAATTGTTGCTTGTCCAATTTAAAACTATTATTTTATATTATTTTAACTTTGCTAAATCTAAGTGTTTATAATTTATTTTTTTAAAAGAAAAGATTACTTAAATTAAAAATACTTACTTTGTGGCGCAACATTTGCTTTTTTGGTGGGCGATACTTCTTATAATTAATGATTTATAAGAAAACATTATTAACTTTAACAACAATCTATTGTAGTCGCCTGTGTCGTCTACATTGACTACAATATTGTTTTTTGTATATTATATTATATTATTATATTGTACATATTATGTTATATTAAATTTACCATTGATAATTTTTTAAGTCCCTTTATTACCTCACTATGTGAATCAAATTTTGCAGCAATGACTAAAGGAGGTGGTTTGATTTTCTTTGGGTTTTGGCCGGGCTGAGTCTGGAATGTTAAGAATTACATTTCTTCCAGATTGGCTGGTTGTAGCTTCCTGACTATCATTACTTTCCATGGGTTGGGCTTCTGGTTGATCATTAAATTTTGGAATTACATTTTCAATTGTTAAACCTTCATATTTATTACTTATAACTAGTTTAGGTTTCTTAATATTGCCTTTATTCACTCTCTTAAAAGGAATTGTTTTATTTGGGATTTGGAAATTTTGTTAATTATTTTCTGGATTGTTTTTATCATTAGCGGTGTTTCCATTTAAAGAAGTTATACTATTGCTTGCAGACAGGCCTTCGTCTGCCTTTCTTTTTATATTTTTATCATTTAATTCTATTGGTGTTGTCATATTAGTATCGGATTGGTCAGTTAGCTCTTCGAAATCGTCTGAATTTATTTTTAAATTTTTAAATAAACGTAATCTCGAACTTATTATCTTTTCTAGCTTGAATTCTCTGCTTATGCTTCAGGCCCTGTTCAATCGTTTTTCTGTATATATTCTTGTTTTTATTAATTTGGGAAATTAATCAACTGACAATGGAAACTTCTGTCAGCTGACAACACTGACTTTTCTGGATTTTCTGCTTTGTTGCACTTTTTTAGCTAATTTAATGATATTTTGTGCTAACCTTATATGTTACAGGCTTCTTGCTTCAATATCAATATATTATCGTCTATTTATCAATATAATTCTCTATAATTCTTTATTTATCGCAACAGGACAAAATATTCTGACGCCTTTCAACTTCAGAAAGTAAAAAATGATGTACCTATAGTTTTACGCACAATCCACACAACAAGGTCTGTTCTATCTCATGCTAAAAATACTAAAAATCACTGCAACACTGCACAGAGTTTAACGGCGGCCATTTTTGTTGTTTACAATTCTTGTGCTTTGGGTTTGTGCTGTTTAATAATCGTTTTAAACGTTGGGTTTCTTACAGAGGCCCTTGTAAGCCTCAAATAAGGCCTTTAAGTGCTAAGGACAACCATTTTACTCCTCTTTTATAATAAATATACCTTATTCTATCAGGGCTGTCAAATGACAATTTGAAGGTTAATTTGTCGGTTATAATTTAACCTTAAAATTGACATTTGACAGTTTTATGACAGCCCTGACAGAATAAAGTTTATTTTTTACAATAGAGGAGTAAAATGGTTGTTCTTAGCACTTTAAGGACTCTTTTAAGGCTTACTATGAGAAACACAACGTTTAAAACGATTATTAATCTCTATAAACAGAGCACAAACCCAAAGCACAAAAATTGTAAACAACAAAAATGGCCGCCGTTAAACTGTGCAGTGTTGCAGTGATTTTTCGTATTTTTAGTACGAGATAGAACAGACCTTGTTGTGTGGATTGTGGTTTTACGTTGAATGTTGTTGAGATTTGTTTTGAGTTACAACTTTCTACAACAACAAAAAGTTGTAAAAATTTGTAGAAAATTGTAGTTATCACGTTGAAGGTTGTAGAATGTTGTAGAATTATTGTTGTAAAATGTTGTAAAAATTTGTAATAAATTACAACTCTTTACAACTCTCTACAACAATACAAAAAGTTGTAAAAAATTGTAGAAAATTGTAGTTTTCGCGTTAAATGTTGTAGAATGTTGTAGAATTATTTTCATTGAATGTTGTAGAAATTTGTTATAAATTACAACTCTTTACAACAACGAAAAGTTGTAAAAAATTGTAGAAAGTTGTAGTTTTCACGTTAAATGTTGTAGAAAGTTGTAGAATAATTTTCGTTGAATGTTGTAGAAATTTGTTATAAATTACAACTCTTTACAACAACGAAAAGTTGTAAAAAATTGTAGAAAATTGTAGTTTTCGCGTTAAATGTTGTAGAATGTTGTAGAATTATTTTCATTGAATGTTGTAGAAATTTGTTATAAATTACAACTCTTTACAACAACGAAAAGTTGTAAAAAATTGTAGAAAGTTGTAGTTTTCACGTTAAATGTTGTAGAAAGTTGTAGAATAATTTTCGTTGAATGTTGTAGAAATTTGTTATAAATTACAACTCTTTACAACAACGAAAAGTTGTAAAAAATTGTAGAAAATTGTAGTTTTCGCGTTAAATGTTGTAGAATGTTGTAGAATTATTTTCATTGAATGTTGTAGAAATTTGTTATAAATTACAACTCTTTACAACAACGAAAAGTTGTAAAAAATTGTAGAAAGTTGTAGTTTTCACGTTAAATGTTGTAGAACGTTGTAGAATAATTTTCGTTGAATGTTGTAGAAATTTGTTATAAATTACAACTCTTTACAACAACGAAAAGTTGTAAAAAATTGTAGAAAGTTGTAGTTTTCGCGTTAAATGTTGTAGAATGTTGTAGAATAATTTTCGTTGAATGTTGTAGAAATTTGTTATAAATTACAACTCTTTACAACAACGAAAAGTTGTAAAAAATTGTAGAAAATTGTAGTTTTCACGTTAAATGTTGTAGAATGTTGTAGAATTATTGTTGTAAAATGTTGTAAAAATTTGTAATAAATAACAAGTCTTTACAACTCTCTACAACAATACAAAAAGTTGTAAAAAATTGTAGAAAGTTGTAGTTTTCGCGTTAAATGTTGTAGAATGTTGTAGAATCATTTCCACCAGGGATTCTAATGACAAGATAGAGTATTTGGTTCAAGCCACTGTACCTGGCAGTAGGGCTAGACAGCTTGTTGATAGTTTTCCTGCAGTTGGGAAAAATTACCAAAAAATTATTGATTCATTGATGATGAGGTTTGGCAGGGAAGACATGCAAATAGAGGTTTCAGTAAGGGAACTTTTAAAGTTAATAATAAACAATTCAGTTTCAAACCACAAGATGGATCTGTCGCTGTTATATGACAGAATTGAAACACAATTGCGGGCTCTGGAGTCGTTGGGCATAACGTCAAATAAGTGTGCGGCCATGATTTTTCCTCTGATTGAATCATGCCTTCCAGAGGAATTGATACGCGTTTGGCAAAGATCGTCCTTCAGCAACATGGGAGTGGATTCTCGTTCGTGTTCTACAGAGATACTTGACATGGCAGGTTCAACTTTGGAAGTTCGGTTAAAGAATCTGATGTCATTTTTACGGAACGAGGTGGAAAACGAGCAAAGAATAAGTTTGGCAACTGAAGGTTTTGGACTACAGAATGTTAACCTTTCCAAAAATCGAGGTAAATTATCCGATTTCAGTTTAAATCTAAAACAGGAGTCTGGAATTCCAACTGCCACAGGTTTGATCAATTGTGAGTCAACAATTAAATGTGTTTTTTGCGATGGAAAACATGAAAGTATCAAGTGTTTTAAGGCAAGAGATATGACGCTGGAGCAACGTAGAAGTACCCTGATGAAAAAAAATGCTTGTTTTAACTGTTTAAAAATTGGGCATGTTTCAAGGAGATGTCGAGTCAAATTGAGGTGCTTAATGTGTGGAAAGCAGCACGAGGCGATAATGTGTTCCAACAAGAACGAGAACAAGTTTGATGAAAACGGCAAAGCTACATCCAGCAACCACAATGAGACTGTTCGTACGTCAGTTACTTGCACCAACAATTCAGGGTTGAAAACACATGTATTTTTACAAACATTGCGTGTGGAAGTATATGGGCCCAATGGGTTTAAATCAATTAGAGCACTGATCGATACAGGATCGCAACATACCTATATACTGACAAGTACGGCGTTGGAGCTGGGCTATTCTTCCAAACGAGAAACAAAGTTAGTTCACTGTTTATTTGGAGGACTCACGTCGGAGAAGGCGCATCACTGTTATAATATAGAGGTCAGATTTGAAACTTTTAAAGAAACATTTGAGGCATTATCTCAGCCGGTTATTTGTATGGAGGTGCCACCGGTGTTTTCTGGACCATGGGTTGAGGAGTTGAGAGATCTGAATATACTGCTGTCGGACAGACAAAGATCAGGACCCATTGAACTGCTCATAGGATCAGACATCGCCGGAAAACTATACACAGGTAGGCGGCATAAAACGAGTTGTGGTTTAGTGGCTATGGAGACTACTCTAGGGTGGACTCTTATGGGTAAAGTTCCATTAGCAGGAGATGATCGGAGTACTACCATGACAGCAATTTCTCTGTTTGTCAAGGACGCTTCTATAACCAATTTGTGGGAATTGGATGCTCTGGGTATAAAAGATCCAGCGCAGCAGATATCTGAAGAAAATCGTGCACAAGCTGCGAAAGACTTCTTTAATGAAACTTTGGGAGTCGATGAGGAAGGTCGATATGAAGTAAGGCTGCCTTGGATAGAAGGACATCCGCCTTTACCTACAAATTATGCCATGGCGCATAAACGATTGTGCAATACTTATAAGAAGTTATGTGATGAGGGTCTTCTCAAGTCGTACGAGTTGGTGTTTGAGCAATGGTTTCAAGATGGGATAATTGAGAGAGTACCTGAAACCAGCGGACGAGATGGACATTATCTACCACACAGACCTGTCATCAAGGAGGGGAGTACTACGAAAATCAGACCGGTATTTGATGCTTCAGCGAGGGAAAAAGGTAGACCTTCCCTGAATCAATGCTTGGAAAAGGGTTTAAATCTTATAGAGATCATACCGGAGATTTTGTTGAGATTCCGAAAAGAAAGAATCGGGGTAACTGCAGATATTAAGCAGGCATTTTTGCAAATCAATGTCCATGAGAAGGATAGGGATTTTCTACGATTTTTATGGATGGATGAGCAGGGTAAGATAATAATCTATCGACACAGACGAGTAGTTTTTGGAGTGATCAGTAGTCCATTTTTGTTGGGGGCTACAATCGGAAGACATTTGCATAGGGTTATGGAAAACTGCAGAGAAAAAAGAGCACCCTATTTGGAAAAAAACGTACGATTATTGCTCTCCAGTTTTTATGTGGACAATTGCGTGACAAGCTTACCTGACGAAAAGGCGTTGGATATGTTTATACAGGAGGCTAAAACGTTAATGATGGAGGCAAAATTCGACCTTAGAGGGTGGGAGTACTCGGGACAGGTTAAGTCCAATTTTACTTCCTTACTGGGTTTGTGTTGGGATACAGAAGAAGATGTACTACGTGTCAACATTGAATCATTGGGTGATATTCAGGAATTGATTAAAGGTCCAATCACAAAGAGACTTATGCTGTCGTTGGCGCAAAGAGTGTTTGACCCTATTGGTTTTACTTGTCCAACTACGCTGCTTCCGAAACTTTTACTGCAGAAGACGTGGGAAAAGAAATTAGGCTGGGATGAACCAGTGGAGGAAGAGATCGCAATTAATTTTAGAAACTGGGCAAGCGAACTACCTATGGTGAATATGATCCGTATCGATCGATGGATTTACGCTGGAGAAGATGAAGCGAAAGAACGTTCACTTCACACATTCTGCGATGCGAGTAAAGATGCTT